CAGCAAATATGGAAAACACAAGAATGGCCATCAGACTGGAAAAATAAACTTATATCCCCATACCAAAAAAGGGAAATGCGAAAGACTGCTCAAACTTCCGTACAGTGGCCCTTATTTCTCATGCCAGTAAGATAATGCTCAAGATCCTGCAAGGAAGACTCCAGCAATACATGGAGCGAGAGTTGCCAGATGTTCAAGCTGGGTTTAGAAAAGGCAGAGGAACGAGAGACCAGATTGCCAATATCCGCTGGATAATGGAGAAAGGCAGGGAGTTTCAGAAAAACATCTATTTCTGCTTCATTGACTATTCTAAAGCCTTTGACTGTGTGGATCATGATAAATTGTGGCAAGTTCTTAGTGGGATGGGCATCCCAAGCCACCTTGTCTCTCTCCTGAGGAATCTGTACAAGGACCAAGTAGCAACAGTCAGAACTGACCACGGAACAACAGACTGGTTCAAGATTGGGAAAGGCGTACGGCAAGGCTGCATACTCTCACCCAACCCTTTTTAACTTGTATGCAGAACACATCATGCGATGTGCGGGGCTTGATGAATGCAAAGCTGGGGTGAAAATTGCTGGAAGAAACATTAACAACCTCAGATATGCAGATGACACCACTCTGATGGCCGAAAGCGAGGAGGAGCTGAGGAGCCTTCTAATCAAGGTGAAAGAAAAAAGCGCAAAAGCCGGGTTGCAGCTAAACGTCAAAAAAACCAAGATTATGGCAACAAGAATGATTGACAACTGGAAAATAGAGGGAGAAACCGTGGAGGCCGTGACAGACTTTGTATTTCTAGGTGCAAAGATTACTGCAGATGCAGACTGGAGCCAGGAAATCAGAAGACGCTTACTTCTTGGGAGGAGAGCAATGTCCAATCTCGATAAAATAGTAAAGAGTAGAGACATCAGACTGGCAACAAAGATCCGCCTAGTCAAAGCCATGGTATTCCCTGTAGTAACCTACGGATGTGAGAGCTGGACCTTAGGGAAGGCTGAGCGAAGGAAGATCGATGCTTTTGAGCTATGGTGCTGGAGGAAAGTTCTGAGAGTGCCTTGGACTGCGAGAAGATCCAACCAGTCCATCCTCCAGGAAATAAAGCCCGGCTGCTCACTGGAGGGAAAGATACTAGAGACAAAGTTGAAGTACTTTGGCCACATCATGAGGAGAAAGGAAAGCCTAGAGAAGACAATTATGCTGGGGAAAGTGGAAGGCAAAAGGAAGAGGGGCCGACCAAGGGCAAGATGGATGGATGGCATCCTTGAAGTGACTGGACTGACCTTGAGGGAGCTGGGGGTGGTGACGGCCGACAGGGAGCTCTGGCGTGGGCTGGTCCATGAGGTCACGAAGAGTCGGAGACGACTGAACGAATGAACAACAACAATGTAATACAGTTGTCTGGTTGATACTGACACGATAAACAAATAGCACCAGAAAACTTTATGATGGAATCACCTTAGGTTTGCCATAAGTTTATTTATTATTTATTTATTTACGTCATTTTTACTCCGCCCATTTCAACCCGAAGGTGACTCAGAGCAGCGTAAGTTGGAAACAACTTGAAGATATACAACAACAACAAACATAAGAACATCATTTGGGGAGAAACCTAAGAGAATTCAAGGAGCGTGGCTTTGAAATTTCATTTCTGCCTTTCTCATGATGTGAATATTGGCACAGGGACCACTTCTCCTTGCCTTGTCACCAAGTCCTCTGTATGGAACCCATCAGTCATTTTAAAAAGGGTTTTAATCACTACTCAGCACTGTGTTGCCCTGAGTGCACTCATTTGTGAAGCAAAGCATCCCATCTGTCATCTGACAAATTCTCATTTGAGGCTGATATGAGATAAAAGCTGCTATTTATAAGAATCCTATCTGCTTTGCAATGTAAATAACAATTAATTTCCCTTATCCATTGGAAAAGGGGGTCCTATTTTTCCCCCTGGTGTATAAGCCTGATCTTTGACAATATGAATTCCCTCTCTTGAAATAATTTCCATTTATATTCCCTCCCAAGCCTTTTTATATACTGCCAAAGCTTCAGACTGAATTGAGTGAAGGTAACTGGCTTGAGGGTGTATAATCATTCACCAAGACTAGAGCATACGAGCAGGCTTCTTTTTCTATCAGTAGAGAATATGTTCCCCATTTTAATGCAACCATTTTAATTCTCATAAATCCTTATTTTCACTTTGGATTTCTACAGGTGTTGAACACACAGCAGCTGCTATAAAGCTTTTCTTTGGCATTGCTAGGCACATTAAGATTTGTTGTAAATTCCCAACAAGCATTATTTCCGAGTAGTTAAAGCATTTTTATTCTTCACTTGTGATTGTACATGACAGCAGGGCTGAAAGCAGCACACACTGAAGGTTCTTGTAAGTGGCTACCATGTGTTTTATTGGCACTTGATGATGCTACCCTAAATACAGCTCAGTTGAACTCAGGCCCCATCTACACTGTCATATAATGCAGTTTGAAACTTGAAAGTTGAACTGCATTCTATGAATCTAAACTGACCGTATAGGAGTCTAAACTAACCAGTTTCAAATTGCACTATATGGCAATCGAAATAGGGCCTCAGTTAAGGACCACATCTTAATTACTTTATTATTTACCACTAAGTAAAGCTATCCAATCTATGGGTTGTTGTAGGTTTTTTTGGGCTATATGGCCATGTTCTAGAGGCATTTTCTCCTGACGTTTTGCCTGCATCTATGGCAAGCATCCTCAGAGGTAGTGAGATCTGTTGGAACTAGGAAAGTGGGTTTATATATCTGTGGAATGACCAGGGTGGGACAAAGAACTCTTGTCTGTTGGAGCTAGGTGTGAATGTTTCAACTGACCACCTTGGATGCTTGCCATAGATGCAGGGGAAACGTCAGGAGAGAATGCCTCTAGAACATGGCCATATAGCCTGGAAAATCCTACAACAACCCAGTGGTTCTGGCCATGAAAGCCTTCGACAATACATTATCCAATGTATCTTAGTGTGTACATGCCTTAAGTTGCCTATTGACATATAGTGACTCATGAATTTCATAGGGTTTTCTTAGGCAATGAATACTCAAGAGATGGTTTGCCAGTTCCTTCCTCTGAGGTCTGAAGTCAGACAGAATATGGTACCTTTTAGGGCAGTGTTTCTCAACCTGTGGGTCGGCATTCCTGGGGGGTTGCAAGGGGTTTTTAGAGGGTTCACCAAGGACCATCAGAAAACACCCCCTTTGGCAGAGAAGGCTGAAGATCTCACTGCCTGTCCTTCTCTTCCTTTTTGGAAACAGATGGCAAATCCTCCCACCAAAAGCCCTCCACCTGCTCTCTGGATGTAGCTGAACTAACACTCCAAAACTCAAGGTCAATGCCCACCAAAACCTTGCAGTATTTTAGGTTGGTCATGGGAGCCCAATTCTATCTTTGGTGGGGTTCAGAATGCTCTTTAATTGTAGGTGAACTATAAATCCCAGCAACTACAACTCCCAAATGTCAAGGTCTATTTCCCCCCAACTCTACCAGTGTTCACATTTGGGCATACTGAGTATTTGTGCCAAGTTTGGTCCACATTCACCATTGTTTGAGTCCGCAGTGCCCTTTGGATGTAGGTGAACTACAACTCCAAAACTCAAGTTCAATGCCCACCAAACCCTTCCAATATTTTCTGTTGGCCATGGGAGTTCCGTGTGCCAAGATTGGTTCAATTCCCTCATTGGTGGAGTTCAGAATTCTCTTTGATTGTAGAAGAACTATAAATCCCAACAACTACCACTCCCAAATGACAAAATCAATCACACACCCCTCCCCAACCCCACCAGTATTCAAATTTGGGAATATCGGGTATTTGTGGCAAATTTGGTCCAGTGAATGAAAATACATCCTGCATATCATACATTTACATTATGATTCATAACAGTAGCAAAATTCCAATTATGAAGTAGCAACTAAAATAATGTTATGATTGCGGGGTCACCAGAACATAAGGAACTGTATTAAGGGGTCGCAGCATTAGGAAGGTTGAGAAACACTGTTTTAGGGTATTTAGGCACTCTGATGTCTATTGTTCCTTTTAAACATTTAATCTAGCTATTAGTTATATCCAGTACTGTTAATATTAAGATTATTTATATGTTTATATGGTGACAGCATTGTACGGTGCGTGTGTGAGGCTGCCCCGAGTTCCCCCTTGAGGAGAGAAAGGTAGGGTAGAAGTGTATGAAATAAATAATAAAATATTTAGTTTCTTGCTGTTTTCAACAGAAAAAGGAACTGATATGTAGCACTTAGGCTGGATCTACACAGCCCTATAATCAAGTTCCAAAATGTGGATTACCTACATTGAATTGGATTATCTCAGGCGACACTGCACTATAATCATGGCCTATAAAATATAGAAACATTATAGTAATAACTGCTAAAAGGATCAGAAAAGACATAAGCAGAAAGATGGGTCGATAAATCAAATTTTAGTCATTAAGACCTGTGGTGATTGAAAAAAAATGTCTGCTTACTAATGGGGTGGGAGAATGGCTAAAACTGAAATAACTGTCTTTGGCATTATTACCAACTGTTCCTCTGCAAGAGACAGAACTTTGAAAAGTCACTGTTTGGACTAGAATTCCTAGAACCATTCCAGCAACCATGTCTACTTTTCCAAGCTCATGACCAATATTTATGATAGCTAAGATATTATTGGATCTAGAGTCAGAAAAGGCAGCTTTTCAAGTCTCTGTGGAAGGATCACAGCAGCTGCTCTTAAAGAATGGGGAAGTTCATATGAGTGCTGCAGCATTATTTTATTTTATTATTTTATTTTATTTCCTATATTTGTACCCTGCTCTTCTCACCCCTGAGGGGGGACTCAGGGCGGCCTCACAACAAGCACTGTACGATGCCATCACCATCATACACATTCAACAAATACATTAAAACATTAAAACAGTTCATTAAAACAATTGATTAGACACACCAGTTAAAAATCAAATCCAAGTCTGGGTTAATTCATTGTCACAAGTTGCCTAAGTCTTCTTTCCACTTGCCGCTATTCACTGGTCGAACGCCTGGTCCCATAGCCAAGTCTTCGGTTTCCTTCAGTTTCCTTCTCTCCACAGGGACATCAGACTGGAAGACATCTAAAAGACATCTAAAAGGTGGCCAGTCTGATGTCCCTGGGGAGAGAGTTCCACAGACAGGGGGACCACTGCCGAAAAGGCCCTGTCCCTTGTCCCCACCAGTCGTGTTTGTGATGGCGGTGGGATCGAGAGCAGGGCCTCTCTAGATGATCTTAAACTTTGTGATGGTTCATAACAAGAGATATGTTTGGACAGGTAGTCTGGGACGATGTTAGGGATTCCTCATCTTCGGAGGAGGAAGGGGAGCAGGGAAGTGCTCAGGAATTGGAGGGAGAAGAAGAATCAGATGATGAGCGTTTGAAAGTGCCCACATTTCTAGAGAGACGAAAAGAGACAGAGCACAGACGGCATTCAGCTAGGATAGCTGCTAAAAATGCTGAGCTAATTGGGAGATGCCCCAGCACCTCCTGCAGTGGTCTTTCGGCAATCCATCGCCGTGACCAGATGCGCTGTACCGCAAGCACCTGGGTTTGAGTGTGTCCTCCTGAGGGTGGGGAACCGTGACAGTGTGGGGTTCCTGCTGGTGTACCGCCCACCCCGCGACCCAGCAGGTTCCCTGTCTGAGCTAGCGGAAGTGGTCTCCAATTCGGCCCTGGTCTCCCAGCGCCTGGTGGTGCTGGGAGACTTTAACATTCATGCTGAGACCTCCTTGTCTGGCGCAGCTCAGGACTTTATGGCCGCCATGACGACCATGGGACTGTCACAAATTATATCAGGACCCACCCATCAGGCTGGACATACTCTTGACCTAGTTTTTGTGGCGGACAGTGGAATGATCAGAGTGGAAGAACAAAACATCCTTCCAGTGTCATGGTCTGATCACTATCTGGTCAGCTTTAGACTTGCTGCGACCCCCAACCTTCGCAGGGGTGGAGGACAAATTAAGATGGTCCGCCCCAGGAGACTGATGGATCCAGATGGATTCCTGAGGAATCTTGGGGTTCTTCCTGCCATGGAGCCTGGCGATCCTGTGATGCCTTGGTCGATCTCTATAACAAGGAGATGTCCAGGGCGATAAATACGATCGCTCCTGAACGCCCCATCTCGCTGCGCCATGACAGGCCATCTCCGTGGTTCACCGGGGAGTTGGCTGTGATGAAGCACACGAGAAGGGGGCTAGAGCGCAAGTGGAGAAAATCTCGGGACGTGTCTGATCAAGCACGGGCTAGGGCCTCTCTTAGGGCATACTCCGTGGCTATACGGGTGGCCAGGGAATCTTTCACGACCACCCGTATAGCGTCTGCAGCAAATAGGTCATCAGAGCTGTACCGGGTTGTCGGGGAGCTCCTTCACCCGCCTGTGGTGGAGGAGACCTCTGACGACCCGGCAGCTCGGTGTTGCGATTTCGCACACCACTTTGCAGGCAAAGTTGCCCAGATACGTCTTGAGCTCGACTCCAATTTCATCGCAGTGCCAGAGGAGGTGACTGAGGCATCTGCTTGTCCAATTTTGTGGGATTCTTTTCGGCTTGTTCTTCCTGAGACCGTGGAGGAGGTCCTGGGGGCTGTGAGGGCGACCACTTCGGCCCTAGACCCTTGCCCATCCTGGCTTATAAAAACTGCCAAGGAGGGGTTGGTTGATTGGTTTGTGTTGATCATTAACGCATCGTTGGAGCAAGGGATTTTTCCATCTAACCTAAAACAGGCTGTGGTTTCGCCCACTCCTTAAGAAGTCTTCCCTTGACTCTACGGTGCTGAACAATTACAGGCCGATCTCCAACCTCCCTTTTTTGGGTAAGGTGCTGGAGCGGGTGGTCGCCCTTCAGCTCCAGGGTTTCCTAGATGACATCAATTACCTAGATCAGTCACAGTCTGGTTTCAGGCCTGGTCATGGCACCGAGACAGCCTTGGTCGCCTTGGTGGATGACCTCCGTAGAGGACTGGACAGGGGGAGTGTGACCCTGCTGGTTCTCTTGGACATCTCAGCGGCTTTCGATACCATCGATCATGGTATCCTTCTGGGTCGACTCTCTGGGATGGGTCTCGGGGGCACGGTCTTGTCGTGGCTCCGGTCCTTCCTGGAGGGTCGAACCCAGTTGGTGAAGCTGGGAGATGCCTGCTCGGATCCCTGGCCTTTGACCTGTGGGGTCCCGCAAGGCTCTATTCTATCTCCCATGCTTTTCAACATCTACATGAAACCGCTGGGAGAGGTCATCCGGAGTTTTGGAGTTGGGTGCCATCTCTATGCAGATGACACACAACTCTACTACTCTTTTCCACCCAATTCCAAGGAGGTCTCTCGGGTGCTGGACGAGTGCCTGGCCACTGTGTCTATCTGGATGAGGACGAACAAGCTGAAGATCAATCCCGACAAGACAGAGGTCCTCCTGGTCGATCGTAAACCAGATCGGGGTATAGGGTGGCAACCTGTGTTGGACGGGGTTACACTCCCCCTGAAGCCACAGGTCCGCAGCTTGGGAGTCCTCCTGGACTCATCGCTCACGCTTGAGGCTCAGGCGTCGGCGGTGGCCGGGAGGGCTTTTGCACAACTGAGACTTGTGCGCCAGCTGCGACCGTACCTCGCTAAGGCTGATCTGGCCGGGGTGGTCCATGCCTTAGTCACCTCTAGACTGGATTACTGCAACGCGCTCTACGTGGGGCTGCCCTTAAAAACGGCTCGGAAACTCCAATTGGTCCAGCGGGCAGCGGCCAGAATGTTAACTGGGGCCCATTACAGAGAGAGGTCAACCCTCCTGTTTAAAGAGCTCCACTGGCTGCTGTTTATTTTCCGAGCCCAATTTAAGGTGCAGGTGCTTACCTACAAAGCCCTGAACGTTTTGGGACCATCCTACCTGCGTGACCGCATCTCCGTCTACGAACCCACGCGTTCACTTCGATCATCTGGAGAGGCCCTGCTCGAGATCCCGCCTCACGTCACAAGCGCGTTTGGTGGGGACACGGGACAGGGCCTTCTCCGTGGTGGCCCCCCGCCTCTGGAACGCCCTCCCGAAAGACCTCAGACAAGCCCCTACACTGGCAGTCTTCAGAAAGAACCTGAAAACCTGGCTGTTCAAATGTGCCTTCTCAGACTAGAAACCCCAGTTCCAAATCCCAGAAGCACTTTAGTCAGTTCCAAGACCACCGCACACTGCACACCGCACTTATACTATAATCCCATATCCCTCCGACACATCAGCACTTTTAATCCTGTACCCCTACTCCGGCCGGCTCAGTTTTTAATAATGTCTTGTTGTATTGCTACTGTATTTGTTTTCTGCTTAACTGTTTTATTTGCTATGTATTGTATTGTTGTATTGTGTGGGCTTCGGCCTGTTGTAAGCCGCATCGAATCCTTCGGGAGATGCTAGCGGGATACAAATAACAATAATAATAATAATAATAATAATAATAATAATAATTCAGGGGTATAAATCAGAGGCAGGAGCAGTCAGCTTTCACTGGTAACAACGACCCTGATACTGATGTTTTCACTCCAATGGAATCTGCTTTGTGTCTGCTGCTAAGGACTTAGTTCATTGCCTGCTGTCTGATGGAAGACTGGTGTTTCTTTTGGGACTTTGTAAGAGACTTTAATTTGTGTCTGGATTAAGACTTTCTTGTTTTCTTTTGCACTTTTCAATTGCATTTGCTTATCCTTTGTGTTTGCTGAAGTAAAGCATTTTTCTTTTACTTTCAACATTATCTAAAGGCTGTTTTTGGAGGACAACTCAGGACAGCCAGAACCATTTAGGGTTTTAAAGTTTAAAACCAGCACTTTGAATTATAAAGAAGAGGAACCCTTACCTTGCTCAAGTTCAGCATTCATTGCTCTATCCCACTGGGAATCAGGTACATGTGAACCAGCTGATGCCGAGGAAGCAAAAGGTGGCATGAAGGAACACTGGTCAAAGCAAAGGGTGGCTTCTGTTTGAGGTGCTGGAAGTAAAGGAAGTTCTGATTCAGGGTTTGAGATGTGAAAATTGCCTTCTGGGCCTGACACAGAAGTGGATTGATTCAAGCTGTCATGGTGTAGGAGGTTGCTTAAGATACTGGTGATGACTTCTTCATCCATAGAGAATTCATCTAGAGCTCCATCCTTTCCCCAGCTCTGTCTAGGTGCCATGTGAGTATGGTCAGCTGGCTGCCCAGGCCACAGAGCAATGTCAGGTGGTTGCTGAGGTCTTTCCTTTGTATACTGAGAGACGATTTCAGCCAGAGAATGGATTTGTTTAGCCAAAACACTGATGGCCCATTTGTCTTGCTCAGGACTTGTGTCCATTTCCGAGAAGGTTCCCAAAGATGGTCCTCTTTCAACTAGTGGAGAAAGGTCTATTGAAGAACTGCTGTCGGGAGAAAATGAACTTTCGGGGGAACAGAAAGCAGAAGGACTCAAAGACTTCTGTCCGTCTCCTTGTTCTGTACAGGAGAGACCATCAGGGAAGAAGGGACATCCAGTTTCATGGGAGGAATGTAGGCTGCCTGCATCAGCCATGCTAGGCAAGTTGGTTGGAAACAAAGGCTCAAAAGAAGCGATGGCCATCCTCTCCGCAGGGACTTCAGGAAATTGGGAGGGATTAAACCTGAGGATCCCATCCCTTATTCTTGCTCTTTCCTGTGGGAAGAGGATGCCTTCCTTTACTTGTGTCTGGTTCTGTACTTCTCCATAATAATATCTTTGGTTTGAAGCGGGTTGAGAAACCATTCCATACTGAAGATCTTGGCTTTTGATATGGAGGGCTTCTTCTTCTCTATGGGAAGAAGAAAAGATTACGTGAGTGGAATAACCACTATAAGTCATGACAATAACTTATACAGTGTTAGACAAACTAATCTTGGGTTGTTGTGAGTTTTCCGGGCTGTATGGCCATGTTTCAGAAGCATTCTCTCCTGACTTTTCACCTGCATCTATGGCAGGCATCGTCAGAGGTTGTGAGGTCTCTTGGAAACTAAGAAAATTGGGTTTATATATCTGTGGAATGTCCAGGGTGGGAGAAAGAACTCTTGTCTGTTTGAGGTAGGTGTGAATGTTGTAATTGGCCACCTTGATTAGCATTTAATGGCCTAGCAGTTTCAAGGTCTGGCTTCTTACTGTCTGGGGGAATCCGTTGTTGGGAGTTGATTAGCTGGACCTGATTGTTCCCCTGTTTTTTTATTGTTATTCTTTATTTACTGTCCTGATTTTAGAGTTTTTTTAATACTGATAATCAGGTTTTGTTCATTTTCATTGTTTCCTCCTTTCTATTGAAATTGTCGACATTCTTGTGGATTTCAGTGGCTTTTCTGTGTAGTCTGACATGGTGGTTGTGAGAATGGTGCAGCATTTCTATGTTCTCAGATAATATGCTATGTCCAGGATATTGTCCACAAGCACGTGGGCAATTTCAAAAGAAAGGAAGAAATGGTGGGACCACCAAACGCAGCATTGCCCAAACACGAATCAAGGAACATGAAAGGCACTGCAGACTACTTCAACCAGAGAAGTCAGCCATAGCAGAGCACCTGATGAACCAACCTGGTACACAGCTTATTATCTGAGAACACAGAAATGCTGGACCACTCTCACAACCACCATGTCAGACTACACAGAGAAGCCATTGAAATCCATAAACATGTGGACATTTTCAACAGAAAGGAGGAAACCATAAAAATGAACAAAATCTGGCTACCAGTATTAAAAAACTCTAAAATTGGGACAGTAAATAAAGAAAAATGCTCAAAAACAGGGGAATCCCAGACAAAAAACAATCAGGGCCAGCTAATTACCTCCCAACGAAAGATTTCCCCAGGCAGTAAGAAACCAGATTTTGAAACTGCTAGGCCATTAAATGCTAATCAAGGTGGCCAACTGAAACATTCACACCTCCCTCAAACAGACAAGAGTGCTTTCTCCCACCCTGGACACTCCCCATTTTCTTAGTTTCCAACAGACCTCACAACCTCTGAGGATGCCTACCATAGATGCGGGCAAAATGTCAGGAGAGAATGCTTCTGGAGCATGGCTATACAGCCCAGAAAACTCACAACAACCCAGTGATTCTGTCCATGAAAGCCTTCGACAAAACTAATGCTGATCTGGTACCATTAACATTTGAGTACACCTCAACCCTGAAAGACAACCTTGAGGATGGATCCTTACGAGTCTGGGATGGACCAAAGACAAAAAAGACTCACACCCCTTCTTCTGTGTCCAAAAGCCAATTGCACTAGCAATTGAATCCTGCCTTCAGCACTTAAAGAGAGGCCATATCATCCAATACACATAAAGACGTCACCTTAGTTTAGAAGGTATAAGGCACAGAGATCTCTCCTCAGGGTTGTGCTTACTACTACCTCCCAGCATTTACCAGATAGATCAATTACCTCACTTTAACTAATGTTCATGTTGGCTCTTAACAATAGCTTTTAGACTAGAACATATGACTTGCAAATGCCACTGAAGTGGTACATAATGCAGAAGAAGCTATTTGTGAAACAAAGGTACAATAGCTCCAATTCAACTTGCATACACAGAAAGTCATGTGAGGGGAAATGACAGACAGCTGGAATAACATTCAAGCATCACTTGTAAAGAAGGCTTCAAACTGACTGTGCTGTCAAAGTTTCCTGCAATGTATAGCTTTGCAAACTTTCCTTTTAGAGTAGGACTAAAAGGATCTCCTTTAAAAGAAAAAAGCTATTCTGTGTTAGATCTGGGTAACACTCCCTTCTCAGATTAGGCCACTTGTCATACTAAGTTATAATACAGAGATCCATCCATCATCCTTGGTTTCTCCATTCTTCCCCATCACTACAACTATCTTCTGGTTGATGTGCTGCCCCATTGGGTACCACACTTAGAACATTGTTTACTGCAAAAGATGCATGGTTTAAAGAGTGAATGTCCAGTGTCATGGAAGGGACACATAGGAGAACATACAGTTGTCACTTTCTCAGCTACAGCCACATATTTGCATGTTTTTGAACTGCTTGGTTGGCCGAAGCTGGGGCTAACAATGGGAGCTAACCCCACTCCCTGGATTCGAATCGCCAACCTTTCGGTCAGCAAGTTCAGCAGCTCAACTGGGGGCTTCTACCAACCTAGCAGTTCTAAAACATGCAAATGTGAGTAGATCAATGGGTACCGCTCCGGCACTCCATGCAGTCATGCTGGCCACATGACCTAAGAGGTGTCTACGGACAACGTGGGCTCTTTGGCTTAGAAACGGAGATGAGCACCACTCCCCAGAGTCAGATGTGGCTCAACATATTGTCAAGGGGAAACCTTTACCTTTACTAGAGCCATACAATCATTCTCCATGTTGCAGTCTGCGAACTCTAAGTATTTGTGGTTGACCAGTGGCAGAATATTTGAGCCACTACTTTATGCATCTTTTTTTCCAGTCCCACAAGACTCATCCTAGAAGAGAACCATAACAAACAGAAATGTCTGGTTCTCTCCTTTGTGTAATGTAGGAACTAGTGCCTTGAGTGCTTCCAGACACCGCTTCTGTTTTGCCTTCATTCTACCTCATTTACAGAAATTTATGGGGGAGGATTCAAATTATATTGGCTTCAGCACAGTGCATCAGTTCTTTTTTTATAACGCATTTTAATAACGTTGGCGCAGTAGTTTTTCTTAAAGCATAATTGTGCTAATATTTTAAAAGTGTGTACCTAAAAACGTTTAGTACTAATTGTGAGGGTAATTTTTAAAAATGAAAATAGAAATAAACTGGTGTCCATTGGGAAGATAATAACGAAGAGTAGCCTGCTGATACAGCACTTCACATTGTTGATGCATCACTGGGTTGAGGGGGGAAACAAGAGTTAAAATAAGCATCACGAACAACACCTGCTGGGACTGCAATGCTGCATTTTTAAAGGTTTTCTGAATTCTGACAATAGTTGGAAGAGCCCTAGGAAGGCAAGGAATGAGTCGGGATGTCATGAAGAAGAAACCCCTACAACGGGCATGGGCAAACTTCGGCTCTCAAGGTGTTTTGGACTTCAACTCCCACAATTACTAACAGCTTGCTGACTGCTAGGAATGGTGGGACTTGAGGTCCAAAGCACCTGGAGGGCTGAAGTTTGTTCAGGTCTGCCCTAGAAAGTGAATGTGGGAATCATGGAAGTTTTACATTAAAGCACCAAGGGTGGAGGTAAAAAGGTAAAGGTTTCTCCTTGACATTAGATCTAGTTGTGTCCGACTCTGGGGGGGTGGTGCTCCTCTTCATTTCTAAGAGCTGATGTTGTCCATAGACACCTCCAAGATCATGTGGCCGCCATGACTGTATGGAGCTCCGTTACCTTCCCACAGTAGCGGTACCTATTGATCTACTCACATTGGCATGTTTTTGAACGGCTACGTTGGCAGGAGCTGGGGCTAACAGTGAGAGCTCACCCCAGAAACACTCCCAAATATCGCCTAAGCAGAAAATGCCTTCACCTGAGGATGCAGCTGGTACATGTAATCAGTTCTCCAGTTTGTCCATTCTCTCTTGATGCAACCACTTGCACCCAGGCCCAGTTTTGGTCTTTGCAGAGGAGGCGGACTACCACCGACTGAGTGCATTTCCCCGCACAATGCACTGAAATGACAAAAATTAAAAATGACAGTCTAGCACAGTGAGCCCATTGAAACACAGCCACATGGAATATCTAATGAGGAGGTGGATCCAGGCTCATGTGAAATCAGTACCACTATTGATATTAGCTTGTTGATTTAACCCTGCGCTAATCTCAAACAGGTATTACAAAATATGCTTATCTTTGTAAATAGTGATAATATAGCCAGAGGCGGCCCTAGGTAATTTTCAATGGTAAGCAAACAGTATTTTGCCCCCCTCCCCCCCACAACCAATCACTGATATATATTTTCTGTTCATCGTGGGAGTTCTGTATGCCATATTTGGTTCAATTCCATCATTGGTGGAGTTCAGAATGCTCTTTGATTGTAGGTGAACTATACATCCCAGTAACTACAACTCGCATATGTCAAGGTCTATTTTCCCCCAAGAGCACCTCAAGAGCGCCCCTGGGCAAAATCAACTATACTGCAAATGCTTATTTTGCGTAATGGATGAGCCGCCCCTGCATATAGCCCTTCACATTTGTGGCTTTGACTTTTGCAGGTTTCATTATTTGCAGATTTGATTAAAATGTTCTCTTTATGAATCTCTAGGACCTTCAATGCTATTCCAGGTTTTCCTGTGCAATGTGATGGTCAATCTCCAGCATAGAGTTACACTAGAAGACCTATAGGTTCCTGCAGAGGTGTTCTTGCAGGTAAATAATAATGTTTTCTATTTGTAGTTTGCCCTCTTTCACAATGGTCCAGTCCTCCTAATTCCAGCGAATGTGGAGGGCTGACTGCACATAGTAGTGGGTGACAGTTTTACTAAGTACTTAACGTATTTCACATGCATTCTCCCAGTTATCCGGATGACAATTACCAAATGTAGGGAAGGCAAACTGGTATGATTCTCACTTTTTGCAGTTTTGAGGGCAAGAACTGAGGCCTACTTAAATACACCCAGAACCAATAGCAAGCCTGAGGTTTTAATTTAAAAAAATGTCTATATCTTGAGCTCTTGGTCGCAAACGTTATGCTGTACAACAGGGGTCCCCAAACTACGGCCCGCGGGCCAGATGTGGCCCTCCAAGGTCCTTGACCCGGCCCCCGCCCTAACTTTAGACTGAGGGTTGCCCTATGTCTGAAACGATTTGAAGGCATACAACAACAATAATAATCCTATTTAACTTGACGATCTTGCAACCAAAGCAGACCCACACTTCCTATTGAAATACTGGGAAGTTTATGTTGGTCAAAATTAGTGACAAAATACATGGTGTGTTATTAAAAAATCTTCTTTAAGACGTAGTTCTATGAATTTTTAACATTAATAGTGTTTTTGTGTGTATGTGTGTGCCTTGAAGTTGCTTGTTGAGTTATGGTGACCCCATTAATTTTTCATAGGGTTTTCTTAGGCAAGGAATACTCAAAGGTGGTTTTGTCAGCTCTTTCTTCTGAAATGTAGACTACAGTATCAGTATTCATTGGTGATCTCCCATCCAAGGCTTAACCAGAGCTGACCCTACTTAGCTCCCGAGATCAGATGGGACCTGGTGACTCTAGGGAACAATACACAATGTCTTTTTAAAAAGTTCAATGCACCTCACATACAAAATCTCAAGCGATCTTGTCTACAACAATGCAAGGTGCGTCAACCATAGCATATTGCAAAGAGGGACTGAAGCCAAGTGAACACTGCCTTGTTTAAACCTATCTAGTCAGTTTGTCGCTGAACAGATTTCAACAGAGCTTATTAAATTTTACGTTGCAGTCCTATGGATGTTTACTTAGAAGTAAATCCCACTACAATCAAGAAGATTTACTGCACAGGGGTTTGCAGAGGATTTAAGTCTTATCCACTGCAAGCATCAGAATGGCAAATTTAAGATATGATTCTACAACAAGCAAGGAAAATGTGGCTTTCTAAATGCTACAGGACTGCATTTGCTAGCAACCTTCATCAGTGACTGTACTGACTATGGACAATAGGAGCTGAAGCCCAACAACACCTGGAGGACTCGACATGACGTATCTCAGTGATTTTTTTTCATATCAGGAGCAACACGAGAGACTGCAAGTCGCTTCTGGTGTGAGAGAATTGGCCGTCTGCAAGGACATTGCCCAGAAGACACCCAGATGTTTTACCATCCTTATGGGAGGCTTCTCTCATGTCCCTACATGGGAAGTTGGAGCTGATAGATAGGAGCTCGCAGATTTGAACCGCCGACCTTCAGGTCAGCGGTCCTGCCGGCACAAGAGTTTAACCCATTGCTTCACCATGGCTCCATATCCCAGTAATGCTATAGAAGTATCAAATATCATTTCTGGTGATGCTATAGAAATATCACACATTTCTGGGAGTAGGTATTTACATTGAGAAATGGGCATGGATCCTTTCTAATATTAGTTTGCCAAATGCCAAACCATTCCAGGCTTGCTACTGGTTCTGAACGAATAAACAACATCCTTTCACTATTGGATCTATGATAAAGCCTACCACCAGTGACTGACGTGTCCCAAGCACAATACTTACTCAGGGTCCTGTGCATCTCTGCAGCTCTTCCAGCATCTTCAGGATGTAGGAGATTGTACCATGACTGGCCAATCAATTCTTCCTTCTTGTAACCAAGATGATAGACAACACTGAGGTGGAGAGGAGAAAATATTAAAGAGTTTAATGTCTGAATTATGTAGTTAAGAAAGACAAAAGATAAGCATCAACTACTATTTTTGATGAGCTATTACAACTCCCATTTTTGTCCTCTGATTTTATTCCTTTGATAAGTATGTAAACTAAGTTCATATATTAGTAAGTAATAACGCTTACTATGCAATGAAAAACATTCACCTACTAAGAACCTTTAATTAAAATACAAGAGCAGGTGAGATCTTAGTTTCTGGCAAGAATGGAATTGTGCAAAGAGAAGCTTTGATCTTACTTCTTCATGATCTCTGCAATCTTCATATCCAGTGTGTGCTCGCTCTGGAATGAGAAGTTCTGGGAAGGATTGTCCTCATCATCAAATGTATGTGCAACCGGAGTGCAGAAAGCAATGAAAGTCAATGTGGGAGGGGAGAGGCTCAACTGTGTTTCAGATATAAGGAATCTGCCTCGCATGAGCATGGAGCGGCTCTTTCTGTACTTTATCCGGAAAGCTCTTGAGGTGCACATTTCAGTAATGAACTCAATTTCTGCAATGATAACAGAAGTTGTTAGAGCATGTCAAAATCAGTTGGTGTGTGTTTGTAACTGAAAATGCAAAGCATGAAGCTGATTGGTTGACCTACGCCCGACAAGCTAGCTGAGCCAGGGAGTTTTGGCAACAATTACATTATTTGTGCTGTTAGCTGTACAAGGGAGCCCCGGTGGCGCAGTGGGTTAAACCACTGAGCTGCTAAACTTGTTGACCGAAAGGTTGCAGGTTCGAATCCGGGGAGCAGCGTGAGCTTCCGCTGTCAGCCCCAGCTTGAAACCTAGCAGTTTGAAAACATGCAAATGTGAGTAGATCAATAGGTACCACTCTGGCAGGAAGGTAACGGCGCTCCATGCAGTCATGCCGGCCACATAACCTTGAAGGTGTCTATGTATAACACCAGCTCTTTGGCTTAGAAATGGAGATGAACACCAACCCCCAGAGTTCGACACGACTGGACTTAATGTCAGGGGAAAACCTTTACCTTTACTACCTGTGCAGGAGCTTACAGAGAGAAAAATTTTGCTTCTGAGTTGCTGGAAGAGGGTCTTCCACATGGACACCAAAAGACCATTTGAATCTCTCTCAAAGGACATTGTGTGAGTTAATGCAACTGTTCACATGCCTGTATATATGTTGCTCTGCATTTTAAACGAGTAAACTTTCTGTTCTTTACTGATCATCTGCATGACATATCTTTTCTCTAGCAGGACAGTGTAAAAGCATGAACTATGAGGGATTTTCATTCTGCCACAGAAGTGGGTTTGTGTGTGTGTCAGGAGCGGTTTGAGAAACTGCAAGTAGCTTCTGGTGTGAGAGAATTGGCCGACTGCAAGGACCTTGCCCAGGGGATGCCCAGATGTTTTGATGTTTTACCATCCTGTGGGAGGCTTCTCTCACGTCCCCACATGGGGAGCTGGAGCTGACAGAGGGAGCTCACCCGCGCTCTCCCCGGATTCGAACCTGCGATCTGTCAGTCTTCAGTCCTGCCAGCACAAGTGTTTAACCCACTGCGCCACCGGGGGCTACTACAGAAGTGGTTAATGCTTAACACTAGATTTAACTATGTAGCAGAAGCTTAAGTTACATAATTACGTAACTCCTCGTGACATTCCTATTTGCAAGACTTGTTAGGAGCTATCACCCAACAGTATCTGCAGAACATCATTCAGTCTGTCCCTCCGCCCTCCATTTCTTTGGGTGGCTTTGAGCAGGTCATTTAGAAAAGCATACTTCGCAGTGTTTGCAAATCACATATGTATATACCATATGCCTTCCCCAATTAGCATGGCCATGTTGTCGACTCCCCTTGCAGCTACGCCTTTTTTAAACACCAAAGTTTTATCAGCAGTTCACAAGTATCAGCTCATTCTTGTTGAACAGCATGCTGTCCAAAGCTGCACTGACTGATTTCGGCACATCAAGTTGTTTCCAAGGCCCAGGACTGAGCCATTATAATATCGGTTTAGTTTTCTGGCAAATCTGTTATCTTTCTATGAATTTTGTTCCCACTTTCCTTTGCTTTTTTAACTGCCATCAAAAGCTCCCAACCTCCATTTTGAAAATGGGCAGGAAACAAGTTATATTCAAATTGTTGACCTAGATTTCGAGAAACGGAGTACTTTCAATATGGTATGCCTGCTTAAATCTTTTGTGACTTTAGACTTTGCCATTCAGTTAGCCTGATTTAATTTTTTGGGGAAGGAGGGGAGAAACTGCTTGAAGCAAAGAGGATTAACACTTTCTGAGCCAGAATTTTGGCTGCGCCTAAAAGGGTGAAAATGCTACACATTATTTACAATCTCATTTGGAAAATATACTGGTGTGTCTAATAGTCTGTGGATCTGCTCCCCTCATTAAATAAAGAGCAAGAAAAGTACCAGAAGACAAGAAGATAGATACCCATCTCTACCTGTTGGAAATAGTGGTAATAGTATGATAGCTGGGTCCGGAAGCTCCGAGCATTACAGAGATGCCACATCGCTCCTTTGGGAGCGTTGTTTGTGTAAGAGAGACTTAGCTAATGTAAGCCAGGCTGGAGACAGATAATATAAAGGAATGTAAGAGTTCATTAATAGTGAAACTCTAACCCTTATCCTAACCAACGTTGCCAACGTTGACTCTGCATCCATCTTAAAACAATTCCAAGGTTCCTGCCACCAATGGTACTAAGGAAATCTACCAATATTTGCTCTTCTTTGAAGCCCCTATTATTTAGTAAAGGTAAAGGTTTCCCTTGGCATTGTGTAGTCGTATTCAACTCTGGGCGGTTGTACACATCTCCATTTCTATGCTGAAGAGCCGAAGTTGTCCATAGACACCTCCAAGGTCATGTGGCCGGCATGACTACATGGAGCGCTGTTACCTTCCTGCCCAAGCGGAACCTATTGATCTACTCACATTTGCATGTTTTCAAACTGCTAGGTTGGCAGAAGCTGGGTCTAACAGCAGGAGCTCACCCAGTTCCCTGGATTCAAACCACCAACCTTTCAGTCAGCAAGTTCAGCAGCTCAGCAGTTTAACCCGCTGCACCACCCCTATTATTTGAAGTGAGCTAAATGGTGACCAGAGGACAAGCATTTGCAAACCGGTCCCTTCTCTTCCAGACAACCCCAACTTCAACTACTAGTTGTTTCTTTGCTGTCCTTAAGATGCCAGATCAATGCCTTTTGTTGTTGTTCACGCAAGCATTTCACCCAGGTTAGTTAATTTAAATTGTTATTTTAATAGATGTTGTACATTTTTCTTGTATTCACGAGACAATAAACTGCTCGGAAATCGATTGATTCCAGAAAATAAATTTTTCAAAGAAAAGGGAGAACAAATAATAGAGGCTTTGTTTATGGCTGCCTTAATTTATCCCTTTTGTATACGTGTCTCCTAGCTGAAGCCATATAGTCTCACAGACATATCAATGCCTCCCTGGCTGTCCAGCCTTTGTCTCTTCTCACCGGTGCCTGGATGCTGCTGGGCAAAGCTGAGCTTCTCTTGCATGACTTTGCTTGCTGAGCTGCTCAAGAGGTCATAGATGGAGTCTCCATGAGCTAGAAGTTCAACCTGGAATAATAAATTGAGGGTATCATTTATTTACTATCTACATTTTATAGCAAATGGCTGCTTGAGGCTATGTTAGAAATATGTGCCTACTGCATTTTGAAAATGTAATTACGGAAGCTGGAAACATTCCAAGGTAAGCTTCCGACCCATGGGCAAATACGTCTGTCTGGGGATTATCCGGACAGACATATTTGCCCAGTCATGTTTTAGGGCAGCGCTTCTCAACCTGGGGGTCGGGAGCCTTGTGGGGGGTTGTGAGGGAGTGTCAGAGGGGTCGCCAAAGACTATCACAAAACATAGTATTTTCTCTTGGTCCCGGCGGTCCGTGTGGGAAATTTGACCCATTTCTATCATTGGTTAGGTTCAGAATGCTCTTTGATTGTAGATGAACTATACATCCCAGCAACTACAACTCCCAAATGTCAAGGTCTATTTTGCCCAAACTCCACCAGTGTTTACATTTGGGCATATCGGGTATTCATGCCAAGTTTGGTCCAGATCTATCATTATTTGAGTCCACAGTGCTTTCTGGATATAAGTGAACTATAACTCCCATACTCAAGATCAAGGCCACTAAACCCTTCCAGTATTTTCTGTTGGTTGTGGGAGTTCTATATGCCAAGTTTGGTTCAATTCCATTGTTGGTGGAGTTCAGAATGCTCTTTGATTGTAGGTGAACTATAAATCCCAGCAACTACAACTCCCAAATGACAAAATAAATCCCCCCCAATCCCACAAGTATTCAAATTTGAGCATATCGGGTATTTGTGCCAAATTTGGTGCAGTGAATGAAAATACATCCTGCATACATTACATTACGATTCATAACAGTTGCAAAATTATAGTTATGAAGTAGCAACGAAAATAATTTTATGGTTGGGGGTCACCTCAACATGAGGAACTGTATTAAGTGGTTCTGGCATTAGGAAGGTTGAGAACCACTGTTTTAGGAGCTGTAAGCTATCTACCTTTTTTGATTTGCAGTGGAGGCACTGAAACCATGAAGGCCACCAATTCTTGGAGGCTTTCCATCGCAAACAATGCAAATTGTGGTAGAAGCTAATGTTGACTTACAAAGCATGTGTATGGCATGCAAACGATCCTAGCCTCAGTCACGTGCATCTCCCATTAAAAGGATGTTGTGTAACAGAGTTGAGAAGGACCCCAGATTTATTTATTATTTCATGTATTACAATATTTACATCCCATCTCATATCTCAGGGGAGCATTCAAGAAAATCAACATAACTGTATTAAGACATTTTGAAACAGTAAACATAATCTACATAAACACATTTTATGCCATGACAATCGAAAACAGTTTACAACAATTAAAACCACGCACATGAACAGATTTGGATGATGTGAAATAGACCACAAAAGCCTTAGTGATAAGTCGTGCACTAAAATTGTGTCAGTCGGGTATCTAAGGGCATTCATCAAGCTAGAATGCCACAGCAATGACATCCTTATCCCATGTCTTTCCTGCATAGAGGAGGGCTTTTGCAGGCATCAATTCTTGGGTAAGGCATACCTAGAGAGAAGCAATGCCTGAAGCATCAGGAGCGATATTGCTACCATGGCAGATGCTTCAGCGGTAGATGGATCGCTAGTCTTACTGTGGAACGGAACTTCCCAATGTTTCTGTCAGATTGAATCTCTAAGAGCATGCAGCTAACTAGGCAAACCGGGTTGACACGCACTTAGCATATCCTTGGCTTACAAAAGAGAAACATCCTCCGCTTACCACAGAAAAACCAAGGAAGTGGGACACATTCTCCGAGACATAGGCCAGTTTGCCATTTCCAGTGAGAGCCAAGATGAACCCTGGAAGCGAAAGCAACAGTTCTGGATGCAACAGGGCTACAGCAGAGGCAAGAGGAGGGACTGGTCCCATGGTATCAAAGGAGTCTGGAAAAAAAACCCAAGAGAGCTGTACAATGGAGCCTTTTACAGCTTAGTGTGCATGGCTAAAAGCAAAATGATTTACTGACATATATCACCGACTGGTCCTATACCACTGTGGGCCAACAGAACTAAAGAAGCATGGAGTAGGGCCAACATTTTGACCTGGCAGTTTTGGATAATTTATGACCCAGATCAATTGTTCCCCCACTTTTTCCTTTTATGTTCTCACTTAATTCTTTGGGTAAATTAAATTGTGAGCTTTCAGAAAAGGAAATAATTTTTATATATTGCCCCATCTTGAGACAGAGAAACAAAGTGGGAACTGCTAGTCCTTTTATAGCAGCGTTTCTCAACTGGGAGGTCATGAGGGGGTGTTAGAGGGGTCGCCAAAGTCCATCAGAAAACACAGTATTTTCTGTTGGTCATGAGGGTTCTGTGTGGGAAGTTTGGCCCAATTCTATTGTCGGTGAGGTTCAGAATGCTCTTTGATTGTAGGTGAACTACAAATCCCAGCAACTACAACTCCCAAGTGTCAAATCTATTTTCCCCAAACTCCACCAGTGTTCACATTTCAGAACATTGAGTATCTGTGCCAAGTTTTGTCCAGATCCATCATTTTGAGTCCACAGTGCTCTCTGGATATAGTTGAACTACAACTCCAAAACTCAAGGTCAATGCCCACCAAACCCTTCCAGTATTTTCTGTTGGTCATGGGTGTTCTGCGTGCTAATTTTGGTTCAATTCCATCGTTGGAGTTGCGAATGCTCTTTAATTGTAGGTGAACTTTAAATTTCATCAACTAGAACTCCAAAATGACAAAATCAACCTTCCCCCCTCAATCCCACCAGTATTCAAATTTAGGTGTATTGGGTATTTGTTCAAAATGCAGTCCAGTGAATGAAAATACATCCTGCATATCAAATATTTACATTACAATTCACAACAGTAGCAAAATCATGAAGAAGCAACAAAAATAATTTTATGGGTTGGGGGTCACCACAACATGAGGAACTGTATTAAGGCTCACATCATTAGGAAGGTTGAGAAACACTGTGTTATAGTAATTTCTCCAGCTTGCTCCTTAGCCAGATTTGCAAATCAAGGCATTTACAGTAGATCCCTTTCCCTGCAGGTTCAGATGTAGTGGGGTTGATTTAAGTCTTTATTGTGTCTGCCAAGAGAGCTCTTCCACGCCTCCTTCCACGTTGGAGTTTTGAAAAGAACAACATCTTTCAGACAATACACTGTGCAGAACAGAACATGCCCGCCTTGGAACATAATTATGGAAGAACAACATCAAGGTCATTACTTCTTCTACTTTAGCATGTGATCTTATGGAACTGCAAGGCAGGGAGACAAAATTAAAATGCAGCCCAAAGCATGCTTGCTGTCACACTGATCCTCGGGAGAAAAATTTAAAAAGTGAAAGGATAATGTTGTTAGGTAAACGACACCTTTGGGGAAGTGAGACTATGATGGATAATGTGTGGCAGTTGATAAAAGCCAGCCATTGCAGGCAGTGGCCTTGCTGGGCACTGCCTGTTCAACGCTTCCTTTCAACAGAGGTAAGGGTTCAATTAGACACAGTAAGGAAGATCCATTATCAGCATGTCCTGCAATTTTTAAAAATCATTGCAGACCTTGTTGGGAAATAGGGTCATGGTTGGATGCACAGTATTTAGGAAAAGATATACATGCATATTTTATGTTCCCGATTAAACTCAGCAATCAATGAAATCCACAAGCACGTGGACTATTTCAACCGAAAGGAGGAAACGATGAAAATGAACAAAATCTGCCTACCAGTATTTAAAAAAACTCTAAAACAGGGGTCCACAAACTTTTTAAACAGAGGGCCAGGTCACAATCCCTCAGACTGTTGGCGGGCCGGATTATAATTCGAAAAAATCATGCACACTGCAAATATCTTATTTGTAGTGCAAAAAACATTTTAAAACAATACAATTTTAACAAATATAAACTTATTAGTATTTCAATGGAAAGTGTGGCCCTGCTTTTGGCTGATGAGATAGGATTGTTGTTGTTATTGTGTGCTTTCAAGTAGTTTCATACTTAGGTTGACCCAGAGCGAGGGCCGGGTAAATGACCTTGGAGGGCCGCATCCGGCCCCCGGGCCTTAGTTTGAGGACCCCTGCTCTAAAATCAGGACAGTAAATAAAGAACAACACTCAGAACAGGGGAATTCCAGACAAGAAACAATCAGGGCCAGCTAACCACCTCCCAAAAAAGGATTTCTCCCAGTCAGGAAGCAGCCAATCTTTGAAGCTGCAAGGCTATTTGATGCTAATCAAGTTGATCAATTGCAACATTCACACTTGCCTCAACAGACAAGAGTTCTTTTTCCCACCCTGGACATTCCACAAATATATAAGACCCACTTGCCTAGTTTCCAACAGACCTCACAACCTCTGAGAATACCTGTCCTGGACGTGTGTGAAACGTCAAGAGAGAATGCTTCTGCAACATGCCCATACTGCCCGGAAAACTCATAGCAACTCAGCAACCCAACCTAAATGATTAGGTCACCTAACAGGAGGAGATATGTATAGTCTAAGTGAAAATAAATCCATTGGAGGGTGTGCATGTATATGTGAAACACTCTAATGTCTGGATTCAAACAAACAGATGTGATGAAAAGCCCACATGGATGTTTCTTTGAAATGGTAGCTACTGGTTTGACTAGTATGCATGAAGTGCTTTGAACCCTCTAAAGCATGATATAATATAAAATTTCATTTATATTCCGCCCTATCTCCCTGGAGGGACTTCACACTAATAGGCAAAGTAACAGCAGGGTGGGTGTAACTGGGGGAGTGGGGGGATGTTTTGGACTTTAACTCCCACAATTCCTAACAGCCGCTAGGCTGTTAGGAATTGTGGGAGTTGAAGTCCAAAACATCTGGAGGGCCGAAGTTTGCCCATGCCAGAGCTGCTCTGTAGAATTAATGGGCCTTAATGCAATGGCATCACTGGAGTTGTAGTATTGCAATGCCTTTAGCCTTTTCTGTCAAAGAGTGTCAATGCAGCACTGTGCTACAAATCCCAGGATTCCATAGTATTGAGCCATGGCACTTAAAGTGGTATCAAACTGCATTAGTTCTGCCTTGTAGATGTATCCAAGATGGTGAAAACTTGTTGAAGCGAGACAAATTTATACCTCACCAGTATCTGGAAAAGGCACTGGAAAAGAAGCCTCTGCACGCTCTTTTAAGTTCAAAGGAATAAACGCAGGCTATAAATGTAATCAATCCTTTGTTGTTCGTATATTGTTATTTTCTGGCAAGTCACAAAGCCAACTAATACATTATGCTCTCTGCATGAGAGTCAGTCTGGCTCCGGCTGTTGGAATTCTGGAGGCTTCCTACCTGAGACGGAACAGAAAGTTGGAAGGAATCGTGGCCAAGCATGCGGAGAAAAAGGAATCAAATGCTTATCACATCTGCAGATGACACAAAGCTGGGGGAGATAGCTAACATAATAAAAGACAGAATCAAGATTGGAAATGACAGGCAAGTGCACTGGGCTGAAAACGACAAGATGAAAGCCACCAGAAATAAATGTAAATGTACTATATATAGGTACAAAAAATTAATAAATAAAGAGTACACGTATAAGATGAAAGAGGCTTAGCTTGGCTGAAATATATGTGAAAAAGATCTAGATGATCACAAGCTGAACACAAGCCAAAAGTGGAATGCAGCTGCTCAAAAAAATAAATGCAGTCTGAGCCTGATAGAAGCATTATGTGGAGATCACAAGAAATACATCCACTCTTTTTTGTAGTGGGAAGCCCACATCTGAACTTGTGTGTCCACAACTTTTGGCAGCATTGAACTTGCCAAAATAGAGCATGTCCAGTGGAAGTTAGAAGAACAGTTGATAAAGGTAAAGGTTCCCCCTGACATTAAGTCTAGTTGTGTCTAACTTGAGGGCTGGGGTGGTGGTGCTCTTCTCAATTTCTAAGTTGAAGAGCCGGCCTTGTCCATAGACACCTCCAAGGTCATGCGGCCGGCATGACTGCATGAAGTGCCGTTACCTTCCCGCAGAAGCGGTTCCTATTGATCTACTCACATTTGCATGTTTTCGAACTGCTAGGTTGGCAGAAGCTGGGCCTAACAGCGGGAGGTCACCCCACTCCCCAGATTTGAACTTCCAACCTTTCGGTCAGCAAGTTCAGCAGCTCAGTGGTTTAACCGGTTGCACCACCTGGGACCCTGAAGTTGATAGAACTGATTTTTTTTGCCCTGTAGAAGGAAAGATTCAAGGGAAACATTGTTTTCGTCAAATATTAGAAAAATTGTCATGTTGGAGTTGGAGCAGATTGTCTTTTTTTGCTTCAAGAACAGATAGGTGATAATGTCTTGGAAACAGATTCCAGCTAAATATAACAAGGCTTCTCTAAATAGGTCGAGCTGTTTGACAATGGAACAGACTGTCCTGGGAGATGATGAGCAAGGAAGCCAGGTCTGGCAATGGGGACACATGCCTTGATTGCATCCCATGGGGACTCCTGTAACACACTCTAAATAAGGCTGTCTCTGGAAAGTTACCCAGGGTGCTGATCAGACCGATTGAGATGTTGAAAAGCCAAGAGAGGACTCACAGGAAGAAGAAGAGGTGGGGAAATACAGTAGAGTCTTGCTCCAACTCTCACTCATCCAACATTCTGTATTATCCAATGCAGTCTGCCTCCCACACGGATCCACACTTGTTACAATACATTGCGTAGTTTCGGTGCTAAATTCGTAAATACAGTAATTACTACATGTTGCCGTGTACTGAACTGCTTTTTCTGTCGATTTGTTGTATGAATGAATTTCCCTTCTGAGGGGCAGATTTAACTCACTTCCTGTTGTCTCACCCTGTTCTTAACTATAAGTCATACTTTGTAACTCGGGGACTGCCTGTATGCAGTATTCCAACATAGAACAGAAAGTTGGACCGGCTGCTCTCCAAGGTCCTGTCAGACTCTAAAACTTTTTCTTTTCTCACTGGCTTGAGCTGTTTTTAAACTGTGCCTTACTTCTCCGTCTCATTGAGAACTTTGTTGAGGAGGTTGGAGTGAGAAGAGCAGGGAAAAGGAGCTTCCACACACACACACACACACGCATACATACAGAAATAAATGACAGACTGCCAGCAGCTCCTCCATCCCAATTTGTTTGACAGTAGCTCCCCCCGCTCCCCCAATTACACCCACCCTGCTGTTACTTTGCCTATTAGTGGAAATTCTTAATACAGTTCTGACTGAGTAGGTGCAGGGCTTAGAAAAGGCAAGAACCTCCCCATAATCTCTCAGCCACTGTGGCCACTGGGATTTGGGCAGCTGTAATACAAAAAGCTAATGTTTTTCCAAGTTCTGGCTTTTGTTGTCCTATTCAAAGGTAAAGAATGAGACCCTTGGGGGCTTGAGGCAGGCTGGATGTCAAGACAGCTAGAGCTCTGAATGAGCAATCTTTCCCAGCAGGGTTTGAGACTGGATCTACAATGCCCAATAATGCAGTTTGAACTGTACCGAACTGCATTATATGAGTCTACACCAGGCATGGGCTAACTTGGGCACTCCAGGTGTTTTGGACTCCAACTCCCACCATTCCTAACAGCCTCAGGCCCTTTCCTTTCCTCTTCTGCTGCTTAAGCAGCTGAGGGGGGAAAGGAAGAGGTCTGAGGCTGTTAGGAATGGTGGGAGTTGGAGTCCAAAACACCTGGAGTGCCCAAGTTAGCCCATGCCTGGTCTGCACTTCACAGAAGTGGACATTGAGAAAACCAAAGTGCTCTTCCAGCAGTCACCAGCCAATCCCTCTCCAATGCCAGAAATACAGCTTAATGGTGTAACATTAGAAAATGTTGATCATTTCCACTACCTTGATAGCCACCTCTTCATCAAAGTCAACATTGGCACTGAAATACAACACCGCCTGAGCTCTGCGAGTGCAGCTTTTTTCCGAATGAAGCAGAGAGTGTTTGAGGACTGGGACATCCGTAGGGATACCAAGGTGCTTGTTTATAAAGTTGCTGTCCTCCCAACCCTGCTATACGCCTGCGAGACATGGACTATCTACAGACATCACATGCAAGTCCTGGAACGATTCCATCAGCGTTGCGTCCGAAAAATCCAGCAAATCTCTTGGGAAGACAAGCGGACAAACGTCAGCATGCTGGAAGAAGCAAAGACCACCAGCACTGAAGCGATGATCCTCCACCATCAACTCCGCTGGACCGGCCATGTTGTCTGGATGCCCGACCACCGTCTCCCAAAGCAGTTGCTCTACTCCAAACTCAAGAACAGAAAACTGTATGTTGGTGGGCAGGAAAAGAAATTTAAAGATGGGCTCAAAGCCAACCTTAAAAAACTCTGGCATAGACACTGAGAACTGGGAAGCCCTGGCCCTTGAGCACTCCAGCTGGAGGTCAGCTGTGACCAGCAGTGCTGTAAAATTTGAAGAGGCACGAATGGAGGGTGAAAGAGAGAAAGGTGCCAAGAGGAAGGTGCATCAAGCCAACCCCAACCGGGACCGCCTTCCACCTGGAAACCATTGCTCTCACTGCGGGAGAACATGCACATCAAGAATAGGGCTCCACAGTCACCTACGTACCCACCACCAGTACACTGATCTTAGAAGACAATCCTACTTGGACAATGAGGGATCACCTAGGTAAGGTCTGCACTCCACTAACCATACAATACAGTTCCAAACTACATTATCTGGCAGTATAGATTGAGCCTGAAATCACAACCAAGGCTTTTATGCATTAGTCCAAGAAAGTCCTTCTCAGAGTCAACCCCTTACTATAAAATGGCACAACGTAAAGGACAAGCCCTTGGCCCAGGTCTGAGCATTCTCCTCTTTCCCCTGCCAAACACACTGCTGGAATTGGCTTGGAGAGCATGTGTTCAATGGAAGCTTATCTGCTTCTTGTAGCAGCTGATCAAATCTTCTTTGTGAGGATTACAAGATGTTTTGAAAAGCCTGGCATTGGAAAACTTTGCATTCACTGGAAGAGTTATAGTAGCAAGCAGCTTGGTTTTTACCTGGAGGAAAAAGTTGAGTCTCTCGTATGTGGAAGCAGACCAGAGCCATGGTATGAAGGTAGGAGAGACGCTCTTTCTCTTGCTCCGAGATGGGCAGAAGGGAGCGCAGGGTCTGCAACTCAGCATTAATCAGATCCCGGCGAGCTTTTGATGCACCTTTAGTCGACCTGCGTGGATGAGAGTTCAAAGAATGTGTCAATTTAATTATTTTCTCATAGGAATCCCGCTTCCCTTAAAACATTTCTGATCCCACACAGAATTTGGGCCCCCATCTGCACTGCCACATGATGTAGTTTCTAAATCCAGATTATCTGCTTTGAACTGGATTATATGACAGTGTAAACTCCTATAATCCATATGAAAGCATATAATCTGGATTCAGAAACCGAATTATATGGCAGTGTAGATCCAGCCTAATTGCACTGAACTGTACTATATGAGGCTATACACAGTGGCACAATGGGTTAAACCCTTGTGCTGCTGAACTGCTGACCTGAAAGTTGGCAGTCCAAACCTGTGGGATTGTTATGAGCTCCCACAGTTAGCCCTAGCTCCTGACAACATAGCAGTTTGAAAACATGTAAATGTGAGTAGTAGTGGTAGTAGTAGTAGTAGTAATAATAATAATAATAATAATAATAATAATAATCTTTATTTATATTCCATCCTTCTCTCCTAGGGGACTCAGAGAGGATTACAGCATTTACATACATAGGCAAACATTAGCTGCTTTTACAATAATATACAATGAGACACATAAACACAAACAAAGGCAGAGGCTTCTCCTTTCATTTCTGGCTTCTGGAGGCGGTGCTCATCTCTGTCTCTGGGGAGCTACATTCTCTATTTTCAAGCTTTCATGGCCGGAATCACTGGGTTGTTGTGAGTTTTCTGGGCTGTATGGCCATGTTCCAGAAGCATTCTCTCCTGACATTTTGCCGGCATCTATGGCAGGCATACCTCAGAGGTTGTGAGGTCTGTTGGAAACTAGGAAAATGGGGTTTATATATCTGTGAAATCTCCAGGGAGGGAGAAAGAAAGCTTGTCTGTCTGATGTAGGTATGAATGTTTCAATTGGCCACCAACCTCAAACAGACAAGAGTTCTTTCTCCCACCCTGGAAATTCCACAGATATATAAACCCCACTTGCCTAGTTTCCAACAGACCTCACAACCTCTGAGGATGCCTGCCATAGATGCAGGCAAAACGTCAGGAGAGAATGCTTCTGGAACATGGCCATACAGCCTGGAAAACTCACATCAACCCAGTGATTCCGGCCATGAAAGCCTTTGACGATACATTGCAATCTTTTCTTTTCTGCTATAGATGCATGCGAAATGTCAGGAGAGAATGCTTCTGGAACATGGCCATACAGCCCAGAAAACTCACAACAACCCAAAGATTGCAATATTTCTTTAAATCATCAATTTCTTAACAACACTACTTTTTAAAAATGGTATGTTAAGTAACATGGCAGTTTGTGTGGTGAAGTGCCTTTCATGCAGCATTATGTAAGAATTCAAGGTGACAACACCTTTTCCACCTCAGAGAAGATTATGTCACTTTTTCTGTTCCTTCGCGAGTCTGAATGAATCTTTGGGTGCAGACGCAAGAGAGAATTCAAGGGACTTGTGGGAAAGCATGTGGGAGTGTTATGTGCCCAGTGTGCAAAGAATAAATCTACACCTTCACTTTGAACTTCAAAAATAAATAAATTATGATCTCAGTTTCAATGAATCGTAGACTATAACGTTGGAGGGGGCCTCATGGGCTACTGAATCCAATCCTCAGATCAAGGCAGGATCTCCAGCCAAAGCACCTCCAGCAGGTAGATGGCCAGCCTCTTTTTGACGACATCCAGAGAAAAAATCCTCTCCACTGCTCTAGGTAATTGCTTCCTTTGCCAAAACACTCTTACTGCCAAGATGTTGTTTCTAATGTTCAATCAAACTCTACCTTCCTGTAACTTAAAACATTTTAGACCTCTGGGGCAACGGAGAAGATCTCTTTCCTCTCTCCTCCGTGACAGCCCTTGAGATATTTAAAGAGGACACTCATGTCACTCCTCTGCTGAACATGCCCAGCTCCTTCAACCTTTCCTCATAGGTTTTGTTCTCTATGCCTCTTATCACATTTGTTGTCCTTTTCTGAACTTGCTCAAACTTGTCAATATCCTTCTTAAAATGAAACAGCAAAAACCGAACTTCTTATTAGAAATAAGGTCTGACCAGTGGAGAATACAGTGAGGCTATTGCTGCTTTTACTATGTGTCTATTAATGCAGGCTAAGCACTTTTCCCTTCCTTGCTGCAGCACCTCACTGCTGTCTTGAGTTCAAATTATAAATTCAAGGAGCCCTTGGTGGTGCAATGGGTTAAACCCTTATGCTGGCTGAGCTGCTGATGATAGGTCAGCGGTTTGAATCCAGGGAGTGGGGTGAGCTCCTGTCTGTCAGCTCCAGCTTCCCATTTGGGAACATGAGAGAAGTATCGGGACTGTGGCGCAGCTTGCTGAGAGTCAGCTACACTAAGATCACTACTGACCAAAAGGTCATGAGTTTGAAGCCAGCCTGGGTCGGAGTGAGCTTCTGATCAATTTGTGCTGCTTGTTTTTGACCTTTGCAGCTCGAAGGACTGTTGCATCTATCAAGTATGAAATTTAGGTACCACTTATGTGTGGGGAGGCTAATTTAACTAATTTACGAGGCCATAAAAATCTCCAGCAAGCATGTGTGGAATGAGGAAGTACATCATCAGTGATGCAGATGGACAGTGAAGTGACAGCTCCCCTGGTGGCCAGAAAAAGTTGTAATGTTAAATAGCCTCTGACTGTCTGTGTATATGTATTGTGTGTCTATGGCATTGAATATTTGCCGTGTATATGTACATTTATTTATTTATTTGCTTTATTTTTATACCGCATTTTTCAGCCTAAATCGGCGACTCAATGCGGTCATTGTCATCTGCCCTGAGTCCCCTGCGGGGTGAGGAGGGTGGAATATAAATACTGTAATTAAATAAATAAATATCCACAGGATGGTAAAACATCCAGGTGTCCCCTGGGCAATGTCCTTGCAGACGGCCAATTGTGTCACACCAGGAGCAACTTGCATTTTGTCAAATTGCTCCTGACACACACAAAAATCAACAATAATCCCAGGATTCTTTTAACATAAACTTCTGCTGTGCAGCCTCATTCTACACCTGCACAATTATACAGAACTTTGCATTTGTCTCTAATGCATTTAATTGTGTTAATTTCTCCATGATTTTCTAGTTTTGGAAAATATGAATCTCCATAGCCATTTGGGAAATGGGATTCATAACATTTTGGAAAACCACTGATTACAAACACACACACACGTATGTATATGTGTGTGAATGTGTGTGTATATATATTCAGGAGAGTGTCAGATGTGTACTTTTTAGTTGCTCAAAAAAGTTGTGTCAAACTGCATTAAACTGCATTAAATCTGGAGTGTAGATCAAGTATGGGCAAACTTAAGCTTAAGCGGCTGAAGGGGAAAAGGAAAGGGCCTGAGGCTGTTGGGAATTGTGGGAGTTGAAATCCCAAACACCCAGAAGCCCAAAGTTTGCCCATACCTGATGCAGATGCACCATGGGGCACCTGAAAACAGCAGACCAAACTATGGTTGTGTGTGCGTGCAAAACTAACCACATTGTACACAAAGTTCTGTCCTTCAGCACTTTCTTGGTTCTCCAGCCACGCAGCATCTGCCGCTGCGGATGATGCATCATTTCTCTCACTTCGGCCAGTCTTTGGGTTTTTTTAATGAATATATATCTTATATTGTGCAAACTGTATTTTTCCATTTCAGGAGTAGAGCCTGAAAACGGAACAAGGCCCCTTTCTGTGTTAAATAATTCACCATATGTTGCTGTGAATTGTCCCCCCTCCCATCCCCACGCAAACAAATTAGATGAAATATCCCTGTGACAACTCAACCTTTTCAGTGAATATGAGACTCAAGCTTCAAGACAAGACGATTTCAGAGGTGTGAACAACATCCGTTCCTGGGGCGTTTTATAACTTCAGGCTGCATGAATGGCACAGCAAGAGACGTGACGGAAAATAAAAGCCTCTTCTCTACGTAAGTGATTTTGCGCCGAAGAGACAATTTCACCCGCTTTCAAGCACACAGTGGGCCCGAAACGTCTGTATGAAACTGCTCAAGAGAGACCATGTCAGACCAGTGTGACTCAAATTTCGTTCCACGGAGACGGTAAATTTCATTGTGCGCTATAAACCACATCATCTTGCCTTTACAGGTTAAAATAATGGAACATTTTCGTACAATCAAGCAATTGATATATTCATAGAAAAGTTGGGAGACGGGGAGATGAGTTCTTGTCCCACTTTCTTGATATGTTCATTTTCTGGGACTGAGAGATGCAGTGAAGAGATATAGAATCATAGAATCGCAGAGTTGGAAGAGACCTCATGGGCCATCCAGTCCAACCCTCTGCCAAGAAGCAGGAAAATCACATTAAAAGCATCCCCAACAGATGGCCATCCAGCCTCTGTGTTGTTCTTTGTTTACTGTTATGATTTTAGAGTTTTTTAGAACTTTTTTAGCCCACATCAGAGCTCCCTGTTGGCCATCACCACCCCCAGCTCCTTCAGAGTCAAGCCAGTCACTTTGAGGATACCATCCTTCCATCTTGCCCTTGGTTGGCCCCTCTTTCTTTTTCCTTCCATTTCCCCCAATATTATTGTTTTCTCTAAGCTTTCTGGTCTTCTCATTATGTGGCCAAAGTAATTCATCTTTGCCTCTATATCCTTCCCTCCAATGAGCAGTCGGGCTTTATTTCATAGAGTATGGACTGGTTTGATCTTCTTGCAGTCCAAAGCACTCTCAGAATTTTTCTTCAACACCATAGTTCAAAATACTGGTAGCCAGATTTTGTTCATTTTCATGGTTTCTTCCTGAACAAACGCAGCGCCCAAACAAGGAACATGAAAGGCACTGCACACTACTTCAACCAGAGAAGTCAGCCATAGCTGACTTTACACAGCATATTATTTGAGAACACAGAAATGCTGGACCACTCTTGACTGCCACCATGTCAGACTACACAGAGAAGCCATTGAAATTCACGAACATGCGGACAATTTCAACAGAAAGGAGGAAACTATGAAAATGAACA